CCTCTATTCTTGTACATAAGTGCGCCAGACAATTAATCGGAACGGGGAATAGCAGACAGAGAGATTGAAAATATAGACGGACAATTGAGTCAAGCGCGGTAGTAAGTAAAGTGCGTGAATCGTTCGTTCAGAATTATAGCATGTGTTTAAGTGTATTGCAAAGTTGTATTGAGAAAGAATAAACTAGTTTTATTTAAGAAAGGACTTGTATCGCTGAAGTTTCTCATGAAGAATTTTTACGAGTAATTAACTAACGACCAGAGACGTAACACAACTTTAACCAAATAATCCTGAAAGGTGATTGCCATGGCTTATGCTTCGTATTATAAAATATATTATTTAGATATATTATATCTATTATAACTTTAGATTGTGCATAATATTTACATAAGCAGTACGTTAGATGTTAAAGCATATTAAAATTTGTAGTTTGTTCAATAAAATGATGTTGAATAATATGACTAATTCATTTTAAAACTTTTTTCGAAACATGTCTTGACTTGATTTGTGATGTAATTTAACTTGCTTGTTTCTGTTAAAAATATTCTGTAGTTTTTGCTGTGAAGCTCAAATTCATTGGTGGTTTTAGATGTATTATTTTGTTTCAGCATTCTCAATTGGTCTCTATTGGCGGGAAAAATAACCCGCCAAGCAAACTGAGCTCAGTGTTTCGAATGTGACATTGTGAGATAGAGGCTGCTTACGTACTAATCTTTGTTTCTACTCATTCTCACAATCCCAGTCTATTGTGCGATATAACTAACGGAATTTTAACAGTTTAAAGTTTTACTGACGTTATTTTCTCATTCTATCCCTTTGAAAAATGTTTGTATACAAAAGAGGTAATTTTTTTATATATCAACTATTTTTATAAATTATTTTATATTATTATAATTAATGAGGTGCCAAAAATGAGTTTATGATTTACCTAACGCAGAAAACTTAGTTTATGTGATACAGGATATGATTCTTCAAAGTTCTGTTTCGATAAATTGGTAAATTAAAAGACCAATATGCTTTGTTCAAGTATTGTTGTTTCAACAGTAAATGCAATTTTAACAGAGATACTGGTACAGTGGTAGTCTGAAACTAGTAGTAAAACTAGTCTTGCCACTCTCACCATTAAATACAAATAACGATCATGTATCAATACTATCCATTACCTTAACACTCTTGAATATCTGAATCAGATTCCCTCATAACTTCTTTTTTCATGAAAAACTATTTCTCAGATTTTAACCTGTCCTCGTATAACAACCTTTCCACTCCAAGTATCATCCTAGTAGCCCTCCTCTGAACCCTTACCAACAATTTAATGTATTTCCTAAAATATGGAGCTCAAGACTGAATGATACTCCAAATAAGGCATAACTAGTGACTTGTGTGTATAATACAACCTTTTTTTTTGTAGATACGATGTAAAATCCAATTTGACTTACCAGTACCACAAGCAACAGCACACTGTTTGGATGGCTTAAGAGAATTATCAACCAGAACACCAAGATTTATTTCTTCCATAACACAGTTGAAGCTATTCCCATTAAAATTATACTCACAATTCAAATTATGATATCCACATGCATTACCTTGCATTTATTATAATTGAAAGTCATTTTTTCATGTATTTGCCCAACTCACTAAATAATCTAAATCCTTTCATAAAGAAGCAGCATACTATTCACAAGACCTTAATGTCATCAGCAAGTTTAAGTAATTTATTGACCATTTCTTAACTTGTGTCATCTGAATCACAAAGAACAAAGGTCCAAAAAATGGGCTCAGACGTTTTTATTCACATCAAGGGAGCCTCAGACTAAAAGAATTTGGGAACCAATTTGTTCAAATCCTTATCAATTTTATGAATATTTCACTTGTGTATTTTCATTTAGTTATTTGTATTGGAAATTGACCTAAGAGAATTATTGTTGTCATAGATTAGATACTTTTACTGTTGTCTGAAAAAGGTATTTAAAAACTATTTATCATAAACATGTAGATGTTTAAGTTTGTTGTTTGAACAGAATAGTTTAAGTGTAATTTCTATTGTTAAGGTAATGGCTACAAGCCTTTTAAATGTATTTAGTGATAAATGCTTATATGATGGAAATAGTTTGCTTAAAGTCTGACATAGTTTTCAAGAATTTATATTATATAAATGTGTAACTTGTGATATGGATGAGATGAATAGCTATGTTCAATGTAGTATATCTTAATCTATACATTCTGAATTCGTATTATCACAGGCCTTGACAAATATTTTCTGCTCTAGGAGCCAGCCCAAAAATGCAGGATCCAAGTGTGCCTAACCTAACTTCACTATTGTTTGTACTGGAAAATGGGGGCTACGTATATTTATTTACTTTCATAGCAACGACTGCATGCTAACAATCATATGATATCAACAACCACTTGATAGTATTGCCTGAACTAACTGCCTTTGGTCCCGTATGGGTCTAAACATGTGCACTGATTGGTTGATTTGAGAAAAAGAAGAAAATCAAAATGGTGTGAAATTAGTAATGTGTTGTGAACCACAGTGCTTCATTCATAAAAAACATTAAGTACTGAATCTACCATTAAAATCTTAGAAACAAAGTTTGAGTTAAGACTCAAAGTACTCTTGGAAGTCCAGAACTGTTCTAGTTCTATTTAGCAAGGCCCTACAAATGAATAAAATGGGAGAAAATACTAGGCGGCATTAAAATTTTTAGTCACCATGGCAACCTGGTTTCCTGGAATTTGTCGAGGCCTGTATTATCATAAAGTTCAAAAACTCTACTCAACAATTCTTGAAGTTGTAATTAAGTTCATGATCACTATAAAAGGTGGTGTCCTTGATAACTCTTGCTAAGAAAAGGTTCCATACAATTATTATGAAATTTTATGATTCCACCCTCTCCTCCATGATCAGTCTTTTTTGTATGTAACACTTATGCTATTTTTCTTGCAATTGCAAAAAAAAAAGTAATTAGCTCATTAAAATAAAACATTTTTACGGTTTAAAAGCTGTAATAATGCTTTTCTTTAGATCAAACATCCCAATTTAGGAAACCCTCATGACTGTGATATTTGAATGTATTTTCATCTTTCATTTTAGATATGGGATGCCAACAAACTTTGGGAGTAGGTAGCCACTTGTTAGCCAAAATTTATCAGAATTTTATTCAGTGGACAACATTTAATGTATTCATTCTTTCAAGCGACTGGCATCTTTTTACTCCTATGTATTTCAGATTTTAAAAAATTAGAATCTTACTTGTATAAAACTATTATTATGATGCAAGTTATCATTGTCAGATGTTAAGTTATGTTCACAATTGTCAGTTAAAAGCTTTTACTTATACTTCTTTACAGTATAAATATATATACTGTTGTTGGGCTTAGGATTTTTCTACAGTAGGTGTCTGATTTGTTGGCAATAAATTTGATGATAAATGAACAGCATGCACACCACTTGTTTTCAAAGTAATATATATATTTGGAACAAGTTAAACATATGTACAACAAATTCTTTACACTATAGATATTATAGGTGTATCGTAAGCACTATGTATATAGTTCTCTTCTTGTCAAAAGTCCACTTAGGCTAGGCCTATTCAGTTGCTTTAGAATTTCAGATGACAAGCCGAATTACTTTTCTCTGTTTCTATCGTACTGGTATTCTGTGTTTAATATACTTACTCTGCCTTGTTGAGTTATTGCAGTTGTATTCTGAACTTTTGATACTCATCTGCTTTTTTGTATTTAGGCCTACTTCCAATAATCGTCTGTTTTTGTTGTTTTTTGTCAAAATCCACACAGGCAGGTTCAATTGCTTTAGAACAACCTTTGATGTGACAAATTCACCTAAAATGTCAGAAAACTGTTAATCTCACTTTAACATATCAACTATTAGGCTATTCACTCCTATGATGGTTAACTTTACATTTTCAAACCTTTTCTTTGGCTGCACATCTACTTCCCATAACTTTTCTTTCTTATCTGCTCTGTCTATCTGCTGTTTCCATTCATATTGCACTATGTTTATCACTTAATCATCTGCTGGCTTTCTAGAAATCTCTTTGTTCTTGAAGTCAATGTATTGCACACAATGTTTGATGGTTTCAACATCAATAAATTATAAACACAACTTCCAATAATTGTCTGCTTTTAACTCTCAAAATAATTAATTAATACTACCTACACTAAACAGTCTTTTATATCATGACAATCATACAATAGGATTGCAGCCAGTGCGGATCTGGGATTACATACGTAGTGTGGACAGTGACAGTTACAAGCACGTAGGGTATTAAAACTAAGTGTGATTGAACACTGATTTAATGATTATAGCCTACTTGATTATTTTTATTTATGGTTATATTTTTTAAACAATTTCATTGGGGAACAGCATACTAAAGTTTTTATTGATGGAGATATCAAAGTTCTGAAACTCACTGTTTTAAAGTGAAATATTAATTTTAACCAGTTACATTTATTTCATAACAGATGGTCGCAAGGAAAAGGTTATGTTTGATAAGATAACCTCAAGAATCCAGAAACTGTGCTATGGACTCAACATGGATTTTGTTGACCCTGTAAGATTTGTCTATAGAATTTTTATTGTGCTAATAGAATAGCTTGTTGCATTTTAAATCAAGATCTGGGTGAACTGATGAGTAATAATTTAGCTGATTTTATTCACTTATCTCAGTACCATTATTGCCATAAAACAATTGAATGTTTTATAAATTTGTGTATATGTGTTGATTTGTATTTAATCAGTATTAAATCTTAGTTTGAAAGAGTTATTGTAGTGTCCAAATAGTAGCTTCTGAGGCCTTGGCAATTAAATTAGGCTCACTAAGTTAAATTTTTTCAAATTTAGTTGGCCACAGTTTTTACCATACTTTCCTTATATTCTTCTTTGTTTATTTGTCAAATATAAAGATAGTTTTAAGAGCAAAATTTGTTGAATTTATTTTTTAAATATAGTAAAATACTTGTGTTGGTTTTAAGTTTCTTTCTTTATAAGTTGAACATGCTGTTTACAAATCCAATGTGCTGTAGGTAAGTCACTGAACAAATATTTTACATTTTTTGAATTAAGATCTATGTGAAATACATGTGGTTATTTTGTAGAATCAACAATTTCTTTTGTAAGTTCAACATACTCATACACAAATTAATATAAAAGGTGTTTGTCTTATCACAGCCCAAAAATATGAGAGAAAAAAAATCTTAATTTGTTAGCATTTGTTTATTGTAATATGTTTCTATATAGTATGGATATTCAGTTATTTTTCTTGATATCTACAAGGATTCCATCTGTGTCACATTGATCACCCTCAAAATTACAGGTTTATGGATTGTGAATTTTTGGTGCTGTGTGGCAGGGATATTGGTGGCATAGAGGTACAAGATTTTGCAAAGTTTCACATTTATACATCAAATGGTTTTATGTGAGAGGTCACCAAATATTAGTTATGGGATGAGACCAAATCATCCTGTTGGTGGCTTTAATGGCAGCAGGAAGAACGTACAAGTTGTCAAAGAAATAAATGCAAAAGATAGTAGTGCTCACGAAGGTTGTCAATTGAATCAATATAGAAAAATAATGTTGTAAGTTAAGACATGTAAACTGACCTCATCACTTTACACTATTTTATGGATAATAACTATTCACATCCTGTGCTGTGCCAGTGTTGTTTCATTATTAAAAGCATCAGTTGACCAAGTTGTTTTTCTTTTCAAGTCATTCTTAAATTTATCATCTTTGAAAATGACACAATGTGTTGAGTGAATACCTACTAATCCTATCAAAAACTGAAGCTGAATTTTAGTATCAGTAAAGAGGATGGTGCAAACTTCAGTATTCAATCTACATTTTGGTCATTCGTGTTTGGGATAATAGTTCAAATGAGGTCAAAATTCTGAATGTTAATAAAAATGGCATATTTGGCTATAGCACTAATAGAGCTTTCCAGCAATAACTTTTACTGTAGCATTAAAGATAGTTATTGGTACTTTTTTAAGCCGTCTTATCTGAGAGTTATGTTGTGTTAAATATTTTTCTTCTTATATAACAACTGTCTGGTCTAAAGATATGAAACTTGGTGAAATCTTGTATCTCTGACACCAACATTCCTGCCAATTACTATCACAATTGGAAGAGGTCAGGTCAAAAACCTTCCTGAGGTAATTCGTTTGATAAAAACTGTTTATTATTAAAATACATGTATTGTACTTATGAGATGACATTATTACTGGCACAGTCTGCACTATATTATTAAAAAATGGGCTTCAACCTAATCAAAAGATCTCATATCCAGCATCTGATGCTTACCTATGATATAGTCAGTGGTCCTAGAAGGATGCATAAAAGTGCAAGGGTGTATTGTATCTTATATTTCCCACAATACATCAAATGAATTGTATTTTATTCAACCTGTTATACTCATTTAATATTTGAATCCCAAAATTATACTGAGACAAATTAAATGAAAGTTTGGAATATTAATTTGGCATTCATATACCATTCTACTAATATGTGTTTTCCTTCTGTTTTTTCAGCCAGTTATTACTTTGAAGGTCATCAATGGCTTATATCCTGGTGTAACGACAGTTGAACTTGACAACTTAGCAGCAGAAACTGCTGCAACCATGACAACTAAACATCCAGATTATGCTCTCCTTGCTGCTCGCATTGCTGTCTCCAACTTACACAAAGAAACTAAAAAGACATTTAGTGGTAAGTTTTGTGTTAATTTTTGGGTTTGGCTCAAAGTTGAATTTTCAGAACCTTTTACAACCAGAAGGTTAATCATATTTTTCTAGTAAGAGAACGAATATTGTGAAGACAAAATATTTGACCAATGGGTGAAGTATAACAGTTATGCTTATTGTCCTGGGAATAGATATGAATATGACACCACTGCCAGTTCTAAAATATATAGACAAAAGTAATTTCTACATTCTTCTGTGTACTTTGATTTAATTAAGACATTTCTGGTTTTCACTAATTATTTGAGTTACTTTGTATTTATTTCAATATGCTGAACTTCTATTTTCATTTGATTTTTTTACAAACACTAGTATGTGATAAGGTCTCAATCTATTGTTCAACTTTTGAACTATTATTCAGACTTTAAAGTTACTCTTATTTATGTTACAGAGGTAATGGATGCTCTTTACAACATGGTGGATGCAAAAACCAACAAACCCTGTCCAATGATATCGAATGAAACTTATGAAATTGTTAAGAAACATGCTGAAGTAAGTATCTTCATGAATATTTTGTCTCTTAACCCTATTGAGACGGGTAGGGATAAGAGGGCATGTCATTATGGTTGTAGATTTACATTCAACATTTTATTTAGCTATCTTTTTTATAAACGTGTGAATAAGTTTGGTATCAAATTGTAGATTATAATTCAAATTTTAGTATTATACATTAGATAGTTTCTTAATTTGAAAATAGATATTTAAAAAAAGGCTAAATATCTATTTTTTGTGTGGTATGTGGCCTTGTGGGTTTGGTCAGGTTACATTTTATGATGCCCACAATACAATGTCTATAGTTGCGTACGAATTAGGAACTCAAATGTTCAATATTGGCAAGCTAGAATATAAAATATGAATTTCCTACCTTTTCTGTTTGCTGAGATATCATGATATTTAGCGAACCCACCATATTGGCTCCACCCACCACTTCATCATTTGAGAAGACTTATTTATCTACGCCTACTTTTATGTACCAATAACTTTATAATCAATTGAAAGCTATACATTTATTCTACATAATTCCGTCAGTTTTTCTAAGTTATTTATGAGAGAAATGTACTTATATCATTGGAAAGTTTGAAGTATTGCTATCACGGCTAATTTGTCAATAGAAATTATATTTTTTTATATCCAAATACAATTTAGTTAGGAAGTCTGATAAATTACAGTGGATTTTTTGGGTATTGTTATAGTAATTTATAATTTTTATGTATTTCAAAATGCTTATATAAAGTCCACAAAAAATTTTTTTCCATATCCACATGTGAATTTGGACAAA